ACACCATGCTTGTCCGCAAGCCGGTGGTATATGTAGATATATAGGTTCCAAGGTTTGAACCTCACCGACGCCACCCAAGTTTAATGATGGGCAGCTTCGCTATCATCCGATTAAATCCCACGCCTTAGTTGCTTCTCCACTCCAAGTCCCGGGGCTTAGTTTCCCGGTCTTCACGAATGAGCAACAGGTTTTCGTGATAATGCGACTTACTCTGTTTGTCCATCGTCACAAGGTGCGTAAGAAAAACCTCCAGTTGGTTGTACCATACACATTCTCATGAGCTCTTCGTGGATTAGACATCCTCATATAAATGATACCGTAGAACAGGTTGCCTTAAAGAGATTCCATGGTTATTCTCCTCTATCATCGATAGAAAATTGTTTACGTCGAAAGAATGCATACGGCTTAACCTCTTATCGGTCTACGATGAACATCTTTAGTAAAGAATGCTGTGTGAAGCCCATCAAAGATAACTAGAAACCTATTTCACCCCTGTTGGAACTTATCTTCAATGCGTACTATCCTCGAGATTGTGATAGATTTCGAACGTCGAACCTTCGGAGTGCAACTTGAAACCCACAGGTCCCACAAGTCACTCGGACTAGACGCGAATCACATACATAAACACACACACACACACACACACACCAAAAGTACAAACTTCAACATCGGTGCACAGAAAAACGATCTAAAAATTCCATACTATTATTATTAGTTTTTATTAGTCTTTTTGTTCATTGAGTATATAAATAAACTATCAACGTTTATAAACAGGGATGTCTTCAACGAGGCGGTGATGGAATTCTACTTCAAGATCTCCAGGTCCTCGTTTTGCCGATTTTAATCACCTGATCATCGGCAGTTGAGTAGTCCATGTCCCAACAGTGTCTGCTTTTACTTTGTAGGATAGTTGACTGATTCTGTCTGTATGATTCTTCCTTGAGTTACTGAGGTGTACACTTTGGTTAATATTATCTAAAAGGCTTCCACAATTCTAAATCTGGTTTATTTGTTGTAAAATATTTGTTTGTCTCCACAATTTAAATGGACTTATATTCGAGTTGGTGAAATTGATTGGTATGAGTAAAACGGCAACTCATAGAAATGCCAGTTTTTGTGACGGTGGTGCTCCTTTGAATAATAATTATTAATGCCATTCAGGCCCCACACCAGTTTAGTTTTGGAATGTGGCTGATTCGTTGCAGTACAAGCTGCTTTACAATAAAGAATCAATGTATCTTCATATTGTAGACGCGATGCTGCTGCGTTGCTCTCATCAATGCGGGTGATTTTCATAGGGATTCATAGTCCAAACTTTCGGATCATAAAAACATGAATCATAAGGCATTGAGGACTTCGAATGTGTCTTCTAATAGTCTTCAATTTTTAATGCGAGAGAAAATTCAGATCATTTTTCTTTTTCTCTCTAAACCCCCTGGAACGTGCACACTCGTTTACCGACCACAGCTGTCATACTAGCCTTGAAGACCTCATGTTAAACATTTGTAGTTCATATTCGTTTGTTTTGAAATCACATTGGGAAAGAAATGTAATTCGCGCTAGAAGAAGATGGGGTTTTGAGCGGAATCCTTTACAATTTATTGATAGTTTTTTATCTCTTACTAGTCACTATTTTGCTTTTAAGTTGTTGTTCAAATTTTCCCTGGTATATTTTTCAACCAACGTTGACAGCGATCAGTTGATACAATGCATACCCATTAGTAGACATGTTCTTCAATGGGTCTGCACAAAGACATCCTCTAGTTATTGGAAAACTGTAATCACTGGATGTTCTTCAGAAACTTTCAACAAACAGCCATTGGTTGCCGCCGATATTTTGGTATGTCTCAGTAGCCTTTCCTCCTACGCGGTTGACTTTTGCCAGCAATTTTTCCACTTAATGCATTGAATTGTTTGCCCTTCGGTCGCTTCTTCGCCCCGCGCAATTTGAAACTGTAGTTCAAAAACCTACGATATTTTGACCTAAACCGATTCGCATTTATTTAAGTCTAGCCGACCGAATCTGTTTTTTTTACTGTTTACCTTCTTTGACTGTTCAGTAAGATAGTCAGTGAAGCGCTTTTCTATGTCATTAAAACTAACATTTCTCTACGGATTATCCCCGACTGGATTTATAAATTGACTTGATTATCAAAAGAAGCTTACGCCAGCTTTGGAAGTTTTTATCTCCGAAATCACTTATAATCCTGGAGTTTGGTTGTTTTTCACCTTTTTTGTTTGACCGTATGAACAGGAACGTTTAGCACCTTGTTCTGGCCTAAGCTTATGTTGACTTTATGTGTTATTTGCCTTTTCAGGAAGCCAATAATGGCGTATCCGAGCCAGACTCCGTTAAGGAGAAGGAACGGGATAAGTTGAATAAAGAAGATAAACCGGACCTTTCAGAGCAACTGATCAATCCCGCGGAATCTTTCACAGTTCCGAACAATGCAACAATGACACTGAGGACGAATATGGTCAATACTTCACCAAATACAGCACCATCCTCCCCAGTGGACCTAGTCCCAAGTCGCCCGAAACGTTCCTCTATTCCCACAAATTCCCCTCCTGCGGCGTACACACATCGCTACCTGCGTGATACTCCAGCGGTACCCCTGGATGGCAAGATACGCTCTAATGGAACTGCTGTCTCCTCGAACAGTCCGACAAACGGGAAGCAGTCCACAAAATCACAAGCTCCATTACTCACCCCATCCTCCTCTTCCTCACCATCAGCCTCTCCTCCAGCTATGGCAGAGAAACGCAAATCCAACACGGCAGAAGACCCCGGCAGCAAGTCTCATGATTCCTCACATCCTAGTCCCAGTTTATCCTCGCCCACTGGTCGCACGCGTCATGTGAATTCCGTCTCTCCAGCGGGAAGCACGAATACCAGCACAGCAACCACACCAACCAGCCCGAATGCTTCCAGTGGAGGACAGCCTTGGCGTGTAAAACTGAATAATTTTCGCATGTCGTTCCTTGGGTCTCCTCGATTTCATCGGAAAAAGTCCGGTCTTGTGTCTGGAGTGGATGAGACACCACCCGGAAGTCCAAAAGTGACCACAGGATTGTCACAAACAGGAAGCCGACCTGGTTCTGGTCGATCTGCTACCACAGAGCCGTCACCTTTGTGAGTATCAAACCGTTTGTTTGCTGTTTTACTACAGTCAGTATATGAGAAAGAAAAGGAGCCTTTCCTAATAACTTTCGTCGTGTATAGATCAAGAAAAAATATGCACTAAAAATAGAAGGCGTATGATGTAGAACAGTAAAAACTCACTGACCAAAAAACGATAGCAAACCCAGGACCACACATAGAAAACTATTCATTTGACCATCGGATGGCTGATCAAACCGATTTGCTTTTCACGTTTGCTGTGTTGTGCGATCAAGTCGTAAGGTCCTAGGCAGATTGGTGAAGACTGTTTTTGGGGATACCATTAGAAAAAACATTCAGATAAGAAATAATACACATAATTACGTTGGTCATTTGTACTCTCTCTCTCTCCCCCTCACCCTCCATGTTTCCACTGTTCTCACAGATTAACACACAAGTCCTGGTTTGATGGTTTCCTGAGCGCTGCCTCCGGTCACGTGATTGTCAAAGGCAGTCAGAACGCATACAATGCAGCTGCAGCTGCAGAAGACGCAGCTGCATTGGCTATTTCAACCAATGCGAAATTGAGTGAAAGTGCTACCATACCGAAAACAGCCGACTCCGATCTCGCAAAAGTTGCTGCGACAGGTATAGTGGTACAATCAAGTGGTGATCGAAAAGATTCCGATTTGACCCTGCGCTCACCACGGACTACCACCGTACCGGAAACAAGTCTTAGTCCACTGTCTGATTCAGGTCAACCCCGTACGCGCTCCGCACGCCCCGTGACAATCGGTGACACAAGTTCTGGTTCGACTGCAGCTGTGACCGAACAAGTGACGGGAACGACGACGACCGGGGATGTATTATGTGTGATGACCAAACAGTCTGAGCGCCGTAATACAAAGGGAACAACATGTACCTCCGGTCCAACATCCGCACTTCCCGAGGAAACCAATCATGTGATTATGATCAAGGGACGCGCACTAAATCGGTTAAAAGCGGAACTTGTCCAGGTATATTTCAGGGTTTTTCTATGCTCGTGAGTAACCAGGACAAATTAGTGTTGGAATGCGTTTATTTGTAGGATTTTACTCATCTATGTACGCACAGTTCTTGTTAGCAAAATATTATTCCCATATAAATATAGATATATATCTTATCTCGATAGAATATAATCGTAAGTAATAATTTACTGAAAAAATACCTAAGATAAACAGATTTCCCGGATGAAATTCCTTATAAGATGCATTCATCTGATGCTGCTTTTGAAAAGCCCGTATGCAATGGAAAACCACTCTGATAAACCAAACCCTCAGACAGAATCACCATTGTCGGTTTTCAAACCATTTCGTCCTCCGGCCTGACGACAGAATGTCGGTCGATACACGTTGTATTCACTGTGCATACGTCGCGCGATGCGGTCCCCGTCCGGATGATCAAAAAACCATGGTAGAATCTCTGCACCATCTAACCCAGGGATACCTTGATCTACATAACTGTTCTGCTCTTTAGTGCATTGCGAGCACAATCACCAGAGTTTGATTTGTATGATTCTCATTGTATGTTTGATTGATCGTGTGTTTGAGCTCCCATACAAAGACTGGATGTGGGCACGTTGCAGTTGCCAGTTGTCACGCCACTCGTGTGCAGAGACAAACGGACAGGACAATCGGAGTGAGACACGAAAACAACCGAGAAGTGTGGAAATGCGCTATCCTCATATGAACACTTCACTGCCAACCCTTTCGATCCGCCATAACCCAGTCCACCCATCGGTGCCCTCTGCACCTGAGACAAAGATAAACTCTGGTTTGGTCATAAATTCAATACTACGATCCCATGCGCTTGATTTTGTGCGGTAAGGCGTTCGTAAACACAACAAATGCGTCCGCTGTCGGTTTGTGCTTGCATGCGCCCGCGGTTACATGTGATTTACCTCCACCTCGTGCGAGAGATCCTTGTCGCTGAGGTTCTCTCCACCTTGCCAGGTCAATCACCGTTCCCGCCTCCATCCGGTGCTCTCCACACCACCACCGCTCCAAACATTCATCATAACATAAAGAGTAGGGTAAATGATTTTCTTACGGTGTTGGCAGTTCTGTGGTTGAACAGTGTCTATTACCCACGCCGCTTGCCTATGTAGCTTGCACATCGCCGTATGTGGGCAAAGTGCAGTACGTGGGCACCCAGCACTGTGTTAACGGATCAAAATCCAGTGCGGGTAGTTTGGGGTTGAGTGGTTTAGGTGTGTGTGCGTGTGTGTGTGTGTGTGATGTGTGTGTGGATTGGCGCGACAGATGGGTAAGTGAAACGGATGGGAATAAACAATAGAGCAATCTTGTGCCGGACCAAAATGGGTCGGTTATAAGACATTCAGTTCGATTTTTGATTGGTTTACCGGTTCAGCTGTCGTGATCCTCGAAGGACTTTTTTCAAACCTGACGTCGAAGCAATCAATGAGTTAACCCTTCATTGTTGCAGAACCAGAATTAAATTGTGCTGCTCTTATATGAGTCCAGAAGAAGTATTATGAAGCCTAAGCAAACCCAAGGAGAATCGATGCACGTTTGCGCGCATCACTCGGAGCAGCTCCTCCTACTTGATGGATACACGTCAAAAAGATTTGTCACACTTCTTGAAAAGTTGTGTTTCAGCCTCACTGAAGCCAGTTGGAAGGATTTATGATATGTGTTGAGACGGTTTTGCTCAAGACCAGTTCAGTTCAGTTCCTTATTTGTGACAGTCAGACCGATGAAATTTACATTCGTTTCTGTTTCTGTATGACGGAAACCGAATATGCATCTTGAAATTAATTATTCTCAATAGCATCAAGACCGAAAGAAGATATATGTCGCGAGGTGTTAACATTTCGTTTAATCTTCTCAGTCGTTGACGTAAAACAAACAGGCCCATTTGCAACACATTGGATTTGTAAATCCTAGTGAACGGACATATACAGATAGGCAGGGGCTATTAGAAGTTAAAAAGCAGGTCAACTCCACGGCAAGTAAACTGATTGGGTCAACAATTTTTGGGCTCATAGAATGGGATGATGTAATCCGATTAGCAACACCATATTGCCATATTTCTTTGTTTTACGTCAGCGATTAGGAAGATCAAATGAAGTGTTAACAACTCGCGACATATATTTTCTTGCGGTCTCGATGCGATTGATAAAGGATACCCAGCGTTTCAAATAGTCTCAATAGGTTCCAACCATCGTGTCCATAGCACCACTCAATCCGTTGAATTAATTTGCAGTCTGTTAACTCTCGTTGCTACGATCATCGACCCATTCCCGAACTCTTCCACCATCTGTGTCGAATCGTGCCGCAT